TGTACATTTCTTCCTCCTCTGCATACTGTTGATCTGCTCTTGAGCAAGAGCTCTGAGACAATCAAGACAATCACATAACAAACTTCACATATGATTTTCAGTTGACCCGTCATAAGAAATATGACTTAGTCCATGTTACAGTTGATTAATATGTCTGTTGTTTTTAGAGGAAAGTTGAAAATGGTTATTATTGTGATGTTTGGGTTTATGTGATCATAAAACATGTATTACCAGTGAACATGCATGTCCTCATAACGTCCGGAATAGACATAGAGGAATGTGTCTTACCATGAGTGAATACCATGAGTGTAACTGTATGAGCAGCCCCTTGTGTAGTATGTAATGTCTAAAGAAGAGGAAAAAAGAAGAAGAATATAAAAATGGCTTGGGTTTAAGACCTGCCTGCTTTACAAACTGGAGGTTTGAGGATTTTAAAGATGTGGGCATTTAAAAGGTAGTTGAGGTCTAATGAAAGATGCTTTATTGCTTATGGAAATATAGAACAACGTTTTTTTAGAGCTTGGGACATACTAGGAAATCTGTCACTTGTGATCCCACCAACTTTATGGAAGTGCAGAGGTAAATCCTGGAGTACCCCTTTCAGAATATAAAAAAGGGAAGCCCCCGTGGCTCTCAGGGGTTTTAGGAGCTTACCACAGAGTATACTACATTGCAACATCTGTGGTTAAAGTCTGGTTGACCTTTGTTGTATCTCTCTATGTACACTGTCTAATAAAAGAAAAGAAAAGGCCCCCTAAAGTAATATATTAAGAAAACAAAAGCAGAGCAGAGTTGAGAAGATCCATAATCATTAATCAGAAGCATTTTTCGGTACCACTTTACAATAAGACTACCCTTATAAAGGATTCATAAAGGGTTGTAAACACTTTATTAATCATTAAGCACCATTTATAAACCAGTTCTACCTCATTCACACCAACGCAACTCCGGTTCAAGCTCCGTGCTAGAGCTTTTGAGGTTCAGAACCAGTTCTTCGGTTTATCTCTGGCTCTTTTCACACCGCCCAGAGTCCGACTGGTAATGCGTCGTTGCGTCATCGTTTGCGTCATGACATAACCGTTTGCGTGCCTGCTTCATAAAGCCAAACCGCGCGGATGAAATCAGTTGCATTCATTTCTTATGGCTCTATCTGCAGCTTTTCCGGAGTCATTTCTGTGGTTTAGTTATATTCTTATAAAAAAGTGTACTCGTGTCAATAAAGTTGTTTTTAAAACACAACTGCTTCCGAGGTCGGTCTTATTTCTTAAGGTGGACTGAACCATGAGTGTGGAGTAACGTTGTATCTTTCATTTAAATGAACTGTAACCTTCACCCAGGTTTGTAACACGTGAAGTAAAGTTTAATATTTATAGTTTTATAGATTTATAATGAGAGGTGATCGACGTGAATGCTCAGGTTCCACCTTAACACGCAGACACGTTGCTTTACCATGAGCAGAAACCTTTATATATACAGTCTATGGCAGAAACTCTGAAACTCTTGTTAAGTTTCTCCATCGTTGTGTACAAACTGGATAAAACGCGGGCTTTTTGTTGTTGTTCAGGAGTTGATCTGTCTCTGCCCGTGCCCCCGCCTCGACGTAAGCGTGACGTATGTGGTGCATTTGCTCTGGCCGGACAATTTGTGGTGCTTGAAACGAACCGGATTCCGGAGCTAAGAGGCTGCTCCGCTGCGGTGTGAAGAGGAAAACCCGGTGCTTTTCAAGCTCCAGCTCCGAACCGGCCCTGAAACACCGTTGGTGTGAATGAGGTATAACATAGTTTTTCCATACATCAACACAGGCTCACTATTTGGCAAGATGACTAAGCCTTATATTGGCTAGTGATAATCAACTCAATAGAGACATAGTAAACTAAGTAGCCACTATAAGGCTTAGCAGTACAGATAAATGTGGGCTCACTATTTGGCAAGCAACCGGTCACAGTTGCCCTGTTTATCTCATGTCTTAGAAAAGCTTATTAATGATTTATAAAGTGTTCACAATCTAATTAATAAATTAATTACAAACTATTCGTAAATCCTTTATAAGGGTAGTCTTATTTTAAAGTGGTACCCTTTTTTCTGCAGGGTTAATGGCAACACCAGTTAATAGCTGCCCAAGTGAAACCCCCTTCCCCTGATATGAAACAAGCATATCACATCAGAATTTTATCTTGTTTGCATTCAGTCACAAAAGTTAAGCCCGCCCTTTACAGAATTGTTTTTGTTAAACATTTGACATTGATGTCAGTTTCTGGCATCAAACTATCTGAGCTCTTAATTCATATCAGATAAGGATACTTTTTTTTTTTTGCTTCAAAGTGCTGTGTATACTGACATTGTTTTGTATTATGTGGGATTATCTTTTTAATTATACAGACGTCATGTTTAAGCAAATGGAATTAAAAGGAAACACACACCTTAAAAGAGAGGTACTTCAGTGCGTTCAGCTGAGAAATGTTTGGTTGAGGACCAAACTGGTTTTGCAACTTCAACTGAATGCATTGCAGTCTCATGTGCTGGTATTTTGTAAACTTGCCACACAGCAGACTTCACTGTGGAGAGAAACTTGTTTTACTCAAACACAGAAAACATAGACAGAGAAAGAGAGAGATAGAGGAGGAAGAGAGGGAGAGAAAGAGAGAGCACTCAGTTTAATATAATCAGAAATTCTGGTCCACAAGGTCAAAGCAATATTTACTCTTGTGGTTCTCTCCATGTGCCCGGAAAACCTTTTGTATTTCCTTTCCCCTTCATACTTATCGGTCATGCAATGTTAGGCAAGGCGTCATTTGTTTACAGTTATAATAATGACAAAGGAATTCTCTCCAGGAAGTAGCAACAAAAAGTAGAAGAAAATACAAAGTTTTTGTTGAGTGATCGAATGTAACATGGGAAAAAAGTGCCCCCAGTACTCAGATCCTTCAAAGAAATTAAAACAGGAATACCACAATGTAAAATTATAATCACTCTGATGGTTCAGAGCACATCGGTTCAACAACAATTTGTTAAGAAAGAAAAAAAAGCTAAACTGAAACGTTTTCAAAGGCCAATCTCTCTATAATCTTGCTTTTGCTTACTGAAATCTTTGAGATTGACCTCATTAGCTTGAAACATTTGTTTTTATAAAACCAATTAGGAAGTTTAGATGGTAAAAAATGTAATTGGTAAGTGACCAGGTGCTTTTTGGTAAGAACAACAAGCCAGAAATGTTGGTTTATTTTCTTTTAACTTATCATAGAGATTGTTTGTTTATATTTTAGTAGTGTGATGTGTAGAGTTGTAGAAAATGGACCCTGTTAAATAAAGGTAGTGGAGTGAAAACTGCAATGTTTTCCTCTGAAGTTCGAACTGAAGCAGAATAGGATGATAAACGATCAGAAGTAACAATAAAGTAAAGTGCCTTAAAATGTTACTCCACCACAACCGAATGCAGAGATACAGATGTTCAGGAAGTGCGTACGTGGCTGGTTAAAACTTCTTTAAACTACACCACCATACTGCAGGGCATTTCCCAAACCAATAGGCAGAGAGAGTTCAGCCGTCTTATCCGACACACAGCCGCCAGTCACTGTGTCCCTCTCACATTCTCACGCTGCCTCAAGCGTCCTCTCATTCGTCTCCTACATATGGAACAATGCAGTAGATAACAAATTCATAAGCTTCTCATCTGGAGAGCACATTCAGTATCTATCTCTACCAGTTGTGCCCGTACTGGAATCTCAAACGCTTGCTTGACTGAGCGTCCTCCGCAACTCCAAAGGACAGAGGACAGAGCTTTCCCTCACTGAGCTGTAGCTGCAGTACAGAGACACTCTTGTTGTTTGGGGGCTGCCAGTAATTTGCCATTGTGGCTGGGCTGGCGGGACAATCATATTTTATTCAACAGGCTCAAGAGCCTCTCAGACGACACAAAGTCAGCCAGCCTTTCACAGGAAATAGTTTGGTCGTGAGAGCATGGCGGGCGAGCATCACAACACGTTCCTTCCCCCAAAAGAATATGAGCCAATATTAAAGGTCACCTATTGTGCAAAATCCACTTTTTCATGTCTTATACATAAACATGTGTCCCCTCTGTGTAAAGAGATTCTGAACGTTTCAGGAAAAAAGATTTGCTCACTTTTTGTCCTGATCCATTTAAAACGTGTCTGAAAATGAGCTGATCAGATTTTGGCCACTTGATGTCATAACGTCGTTTTGGTAATTAGCCAATCACCAACCAAGGTAACCCCAGCCCACCTTATCACCTGCATCTCCTACTAGATCATCAGTGTTCTTTTTAACCAAATATCTCTCAGAGGGGAGTGGCTCCTTATTTTTCATCTAAAGTAACAGACAGAGAATCAGCACTTTTGGAACAGGGCTGAAACAGAGGGGATTATGGGATGCTGCAATGATCTGTTTGGTATTTGGAGCCAAACACTTCAGAGACATGTTTTGTATCTGAGACCTGTAATATATTGATGAAAAACAGTATAATAGGGGACCTTTAAGTGCACACTCCAACAAGCAGTTGTATTTAGTAGGAATCAGTATATGAAGAAAACCAGTAAAGCACAAATCTGATTTTATTGTGCTTTCCTGGGATCCCAGGAATCAAAGTTGATGCTTTTCAAGGTGTTTACATCATAACAGAACGAGGAAGGATGGTAATATCACCCCTCAAATCTATCTAAGACATGCCCTATGAAAAAACATCAACTAAATTGGAGTCTGTGTAATAGAGTGAATGTATTATTATTATTGTTATACCAAACACTCTTGCCAGGTCCTTCTCTAATTGCTCAAATTAGAAACTGTCTTCCAAGTGAAAGTATTTCAAAATAAAATAATCCACACAGATAGACTGTACTCCTGTTCAGAAAGTGTAAAGTATGGTAATGACATTAGGAAAAGCCCTCCGAACTAAGACTACATCATTTTATTAATCTGTTGAATCAAACTCCAGTCCAAAATTATTTGGGGATGAAACGGTCACAGAGATGAACATAACAAAGCAGTCATTTAATACATACGGCACTTTATTTACAAACTGCATCTGTAAAGAACAAGATTATTTCTGATAGCATAAAATTAACTTGAAAAGTCAATTTTAGAAAATTGTGAAAAAACAATTAAAAAGTGTCTTAGAAATTGTAATGAGAACATAATATTTACCTCTGTGAAAAATATATATCTATTTGTCATAAAATGTGGCCTATGTCTGTAAAAGAGTATAAAGACAACTTGTTTCATTTTCCCCTCAGGTAAGTCAACGTCATAGTATTTGATTAAGACATTTAAAAAGCAGTACTGGAGCACTGACTTGCATCTTAAAAGCAAATGGGTGTTTGAAGCATAAACGTTAATCCTCACTATAGATACAGAACAGAAATCCCTCCTTAAGTGAATCGCTGCAGTTCCCACACCCCTTTCCTTTTATACAAAATGTACATTATATATAAGTTGGCGCTCCATTACAAAATGGACATTTTACAAACGGTATATAACTACGGTTATGCATAATATATATAGATTTTTTTTCCTTTTTTTTTTTTACAATAAATCAACTTCTCATTATGCGAGCCTCCTTATCAATGATTGACGAAGGCTTATTATAACTGTAGGCAATTGGATTTCTGCATTTTATTTGCTGTGCTCTACTTCCTATGCCGATTGCTTTCTATCTGGTGAGTACTCACTGGTTATAATCTGGCATTTAACTACAAAATTAAACATTTAAAAACTCATCATAAATCTATGAAAAAGGCCCATAAAAAGTGGGCTTGTGACTACACAAACCTACAAAGACTAGGGGAAGAAGCATTATGTGGAAGTCGTCCAAAAATACTTCGAATACCGAAGTCTTTGTCCTGCGTTGATGAAGTCTCTTCTTTCTGCTGGGATCGGACTTTTGACTTCTCTGCTGTCCGGCTGTTCCCCTGCTGCCACTTTAAGCCACAGGAATCCCAGCGTCTTTTATAAAAGTCAGAAGACAGGTCCCTGATAAAAATCTCTCTGTGGTTGAAAGGAGAGACCAACCCCACCCTTATCTGCTGACATTTTGAACTGAAGGCATCCTCATGTTTTTAAGTGTTGGACTTGGTTGTTTAAAGTTGAGCTTGCGAAGGTGGGATCATCGGCAGGCCTGCTGCACTTGATTTATTAACTCTCCGAAGCGATCGAAGAGCCCCTCTACCCAAGCTCCGTTCTGTAGACACCTCTGAACAGTCTCCTCCTGCCCCAAGTGTCCTGTCTGCACCTGCAGAGACGCGATCTGGAGTGCAGAACACAAACAGAAATGTTTTAATAAAAGAGCTTAATAGAGCAAAGTTTACCAGAATATTAAGAATCTAAAAGGAAACCTTCTAAGCCTAGTCAAATCATTACATTCAGAACAAGTTAGAAAAGTAGGCATATACACAAGGACGCATATCTCACCTCGTCCTTACACATGAGGTACGTGTGGTACTTGTAATGCTGCAGAGAGTGGTACAGAGAGAACCACTGAGTTTTCTGCTGGTCCACTGTATACTCCTAGAAAAGGGAAAATCCACACAATGTTATTCAAGGACATTTGAACATTATTTTTTAAGATCAAATCGCCAAAGGAAAGGGCACTGTGGCTTCAGTGCTCAGGAGAATGAAGAGAGGAGTGAAATGCTGACACGGCGCCCTCTGCTGGACATATAACTGCACAGTGAATATGACCAAAACAGTATCCAGTCTCACCTGTGGCACTTTGTTGGGCATCTTGTAGGGCTTCAGGCTTTTCTTGTTGTAGGCCCTCCCGCTGAGACGCACTTTAAAGGCCGGGGTTTCCCTGTCCTTCTTCAGTTCAGTCACGACTGAGATCTCTGGGAAGCCGTCTAGGGCCGTCTAAAGACACAACGGGAGGGAGACTTGGGTTTGTGCACTGCATTCACAAACAGCTGTAGTGCTGTTTGGTAGTGGAAAAGGTGCTCTTGAGTATTTAAAAAAACAGCGTGCAGTCTTCCCCGTTTGTTTAGTAAATTATTGTCAAAATATTTAGAGGATTTCGATATTTCTTTATGAATTTATTGCTGTTCTGACCTAATATTGAGTTATTATTTTTAATGTGTGGTTCCCTTGTTGCAAGACAGTCTGTCATGTGACTTAACCTGTTTACACAGATCATGTGACTGACTCATCAACAATGACCATCTGTCTACTTGCTGACATGTATAAAACATGAGCTCTAGAGGAAATCATTACAGTATGTATTTCTGCCTGATGAAGACCTTAATGGCTTTAATACATAGTGAGGTTTCTAACTTTTACTGTGACGAAGCCTTTTGAAGTGAAAATCATGCCCAAAATCACACCAACCTTTAGGACCTGCCCTATGTGCAGCTTGTGAAGCAGGCGCTTCCTGTTGTCAGTGATCATCTCATCCACTCTTTTCATAGGTGGCAGCAGCAACTCATCTGAAACAAGACCATTTAGTAAGTTATCATAGCTGTAATACTGACTCACCACCATTTTTGGCAAACATTTATGCTATTTGCAAGGCAGGGGAAGGGAGACACCAGTGGAGAGAAATACAGAGTCAATTCACTCACCATTTGCCCTCTCAAGAGCAGTCATCACATCCTCGTCTAAGGCAATGCTGATGAGCAGTTCCACGAAGCTCCTGAATGTCTCCTTCATGGTTCGCGTGTTGAGAAGCCGTGAAGCAAATGGCACTGGAGGGTTCAACTCTAAGAGTGTGTGTGTGTGTGTGTGTGTGTGTGTGTGTGTGTGTGTGTGTGTGTGTGTGTGTGTGTGTGTGTGTGTGTGTGTGTGTGAGTGAGAGTGAGAGAGGGGGGGTAAGATTAAGAACTACAATATTTTCAACTTATATTCAACATGGATTTAACAAGATAAGTTAAAAGGCTTCTTTACCATCATCGTCACCACCCTCATCTGCAGATGATCCAGAGGCAGCCGGGGAAAACGCCTCCTTCCATTTCCTCCTCTTCTTAGGCGGGGGCTCTGCTCTGGGCTTCAGTTGTTTGGGTCGAGGCTTTTGGCTTTGGGAGACTGAGGGAGGGGCAGCTGTCAAGCCCAGCAAAGTTTTTACCTGAACACCCCTGGGAGGCAGAATGAAATAAAGAAATACCACTGAAGAGTCGTTTTTTAAAACAAAAAATACAGTATCAAATCAGTCAGTACTCATAGCGTACCTTAGCGAGCTCATAGGCTTGCAGCGTGGCTTCCGACTACAAACTCGTACATACTCCCTTTTGTTGACTGTGTCCAAGAACTTCACATACACCCTCTGGTACATCGTTTTGGCGTCACCAAAGTACCCAAGATACTACACACAAAGAAAAACAACATGTTACCTGGCGCAGTATAAAGAAACATTTTAGAATGATTTAATACTCCTGAACGCACACATGTCTATTGGTGAGTCTGCTTTAACTTACACTGTTGGTGGCTGAGAAGACTCTCTTTCCATCCCTCAACTCCGGCACAAATTTCTGCAGCAGAGCCTTCTGGACTTTCCAGATGGCTGGAGGCTCGCTGCCTGATCTCATTGTCACCTGGAAACATTCACAAAACACAGTGTAGAGCATCGTTCAGCATGGAGTATCAGTTTAAGAGAAACATTTAATAATAAATGTTTAACTACAAGTAAACAAAAGATGTGGCACGACTATCCCAAATGCTGCTGAACATCAATATTCATGTTCACAAACATTCATTTACAGCTCATGTTTTCCAAAGGCCTTACCTTCAAGTTTTCGATATCCTCGTTCCTGACGACAAACTCGTCTCTCTCCCGGTACATGCCCTCCCCCCCGCTGTCTGACAGCTCCTCGTCAGTCAGCCCCTCGATGGCCACACTCATCAGCTCCACAGCTAGCTGTCCCAGTGGGGTCTGTTTAATCTCCTCTTTGGCCACAAACACATTCCCTAACGACAAAGCAGTTGCTGTCTGTATAGGAATGGTAACCCGCGACAAACAGGTCAGCGGGACGGTGAGGGGCATGGTGGCAACTTGGTCTGGCTTCATCATCGGACCAGGCATGTGGTCATCTAGAGAAGAGTTGCAAATATATGAATGTATTGGAGAAAATAATTTTCAGAAAGTAACATGAAAAACGTAACTATACCCCTTTTATGTACAATAAATCAAAAGATTTCAGACAGCATTTATTCAGAAAACGTACCAAAAGAAAACTCGGGTATGATGAAGTTCCAATAACAGCACAGCAAAGAATACTGTTACCCAGTTTTACATTTGTGCACGTTATCACACAGGGAAGTATAACAGGAAAGACAGAAAAAAAAAAAAAAAAATGTATTTCTTTTTTTTTTTTTTTTAGGTAATTTATCAGGTAAAGTACTTTTGCTTGTCACGTCCCGCAAAACTAAGATTTATTAGTTTATCTTTGATATTTGTTAGGTCTATTTCATATACACATTTATGGTCCTGACTGTTTGGCATAATAGGCAATTCTAAGTCTAGACTCAAGTTACTTTTAGGATTTGTTATCATTTTCAAAATTGTATTTAAAAATACATTATAATCAGAAATAAAATGGAGGGATAATAATATAAAAGATTGTTAATGCATGTTATAAATATTGGCAGCTCCTGACAAGCTTAAGCAGCGTATTATTACCTGGCCTGGATTTCCGATCTGAAGACTCATCCAGAGCGGAGAGTGCTGAGCTGATGCTGTTCCTCAGGGCCTGGTTCTTCCCAGTGTTCTCCTCCTCATCCGAGCTGAAGGATGGCAGAGTCTCCAGGTTCTTCTGCAGATCTTCCTCCAGACGTTTCTGATGGGAGCTCACACCTGGGCTCTCCTGAGTTATCACGGGCAGAGTCTGTAGTTTGGGAGGCAAAGAAGGTAAAGCACACAGCGGTGGTTTGTTGGAGGTGGAGGAGGAGGAAGAGGAGGAGGAGGTGCAGGGCTTTCTCGGGCGACTGGTAGTCCGCGTAGGATTTGGAGAGTATTGCTGTTTGGGGCCTGATTTGATGAAGTCCAGGAAAGAGCCTATGAATCCAGTTTTGACCTCGGGCTGTTTCTCTTCCACTTCACGGATCTTCTGTCTGATTCTCTCCTGCTGCGGACAACCATCAAACACACCTTGTGAAGCAGATGGTGAGCTGGCGTCACTACCCCTGGAGTTCTGACGCTTTGTCTGCCCGCCACGCTTCGCTGGTCTGGCCTGTCCACCGTCCTCCTCAGAACCACCTGGTTTGGTGAGGGACTTAGAGCGAGCCTTCTTTTTGGGAAACTCTTCACCCCCTGAGCTTTCCATGAGGCTGTCCTCTGTTTTTTTTGCATTCCCTTTGACTCTACTCTGGAAACTTTGGGGGTCATACACCTGCCCAGCTAAGTGAAAGTCATTCTCAGAGCCTCCCCCATCTCCATTTGTGTCAAGTTCAGAACTGTTGTTGTGGTGCACAGGCTGACCGTGGCAGTCTGTGGTCATCCGAACTCCATTTAGTGTCATAGTCATGTTGTGGGAGCTAGTGTTGGTCATGATTGACTGTTGTGCTGAGGAGAAACTAGGTGACATGTGCCTTATATCTACGGTCTGGTAGTGACCTTTAGAATCAATGGGTCTTGCCATCACTGCCAATTCCGCCTCAGCAGAGGATGTCGCTTTGACAAAGTCTTGGGGTGCGACGCCACAGGCTGCCACCGTAGCGGCGAGGATATCATCGACATTTGACAAAATAGTTCTGTCATCTGCAAGAAGCATTGAGTCTGGGAAGCAAATGGAGTTCAGAGCGAAGTGGTTTTTGGCATCATGTGGCTGCTGGTTTGAATGGCTGTAGTGATGTTTAGAGGAATCAGAGCATCCTTGTTCGGACTCTACTGTGCCCTGCTGCCTCTGGGTTTCAGTGATGCCTTGACCCATTAGTTCTCTGCCCATCTGCAGATACTGGACATGAACAGGGCCTAGATCTTGAGCTTGTTGGATACCTTGCACTGATAGCACCTTTGAAGAGTTTTGACTATGATGGACAAGGGGCTGCTGGAGCAGAATCATCTGGTTGGGCTCGAGAAAAACCTGAGTGCTGGGGACGGTGATATATTGGGGGTGGGCTATTGGGCTCTGGGACTGAGAATGATTCTGGTGGTTTTGCTCAGGAGACTTCAGTTGAAAAGAGGTGTGCTGCTTTAGCTGTTCCGAGCTAAGGTGTAAATGTGAAGATATGATACTGGAGTTTGTCGTTTTTGTGTTGGTAGTGTCCTGACCATTGGCACTGCTTAGATGAATGTGCTGTTGGCTCAGAGAACCCATCCTTTCATCTTTAACCTGTGATGCGTTTGTGTGACCCAGTACCATGATCTGATCATCAGAACGCGAGTTGCTTCGGATTACGCTTTGTGTTTTGTGATGATCGTCCATTTTTGAAACTACATAGATGACATTGTTGTGAGCAGACATATTGCTAGCTGCAGCAGAGGCCTCCATTGATGCCTGCTGGAGAGCATCTATGTCCTGGATTGGAAGCTCTCCAGGTTTCTGTTTGCCATAAGTTGGCTTTATGTCCTGTATTGAGGATCTGATGTTGTTTTGTAAGGCTTGAGAAGTTAAAGAGTAGGCAGGCAATGGTGCAGACAAAACATATTTATGGGGCTGTGTGTGCTGCTGGGATAGCGTGCCATGCGTTTTACCTCCCACTGAGGCTTGCATGAGGGTGTAGTCCTGTGAAGAATTTGATGTGGGCAGACTCTGCACACATGTGGTTGGGTACGATGAGTTAAGGTTAAGGGATTGTCCTGTGGCGTAGCTCTGAGTCACTAAAGCTTGCCCCTGAGAGTGTGATGTGGGGTAGTTCTCAGAGAGATTCTGACACAAGCCCTGAACCTGGGCTCCATACTGGATCTCCTGCTCCTGGCTAAGCCCGGGACTTGAGGAGTAAACAAGAGTCTGACTAACAGAAGCCACATTGTCAGACTGGCTGGAGAGGGAAGGGAGAGTCTCGTAAAGTGGGGAGTGTTTGTCTGAGGTTGAATGGGGGGGATGTGACTGGGTCTGGGAGGTGATATAGGTTTGAGCTAAACTGCTGGACATGAGACTGGAGAGCTGGACTGACTGCTGGTTAGCAATGACTGAGTTCTGCTTCTGTCCTGGGGAGGAGTACCGGTCAGGAGACGCTCCCGTCAGGTTCTGCTCGTGACTCTCTTCACCACCAGCAGTGTGGGGAGCTAGTTCGGAAGAGCAGTCTTTAGCTTGAGTTACTGAGTCTGTTTTGGTTTGTGGAGCACGATGGACCCCTTGAGAGGAATCTGCTCCTGCGCTGGTGCTACAGGACACCGGGGTCTGACGGGATGGGTCCTGCTGGTAGGCCACATCCGCTTCACTGCCAGAACCAAAGTACCCCTGTAAGGAGTGCTCTGAATTGGGCAGTTGCTCTGAGGCTGTGTGGCTACTAGAAGGCCTCTGGTGGTGTTTGATCACACTACATTCACGCTGAAGAGCTCTCTCAATAGAGCCTGAGAAAACGGCTGCTCCATAGGGCTGTGATGCACCATGAGGGGCAGGCAGGGCCGAGGGTAGCAGGCTGAACTGGGGTTGCAGGAGGTGGGGAGCTGACTCCTGGGCTGATCGGTAGGTGGAGGACTGGACAGGGAGAGCCGAGGCTAAAGCAGAGGAAGAGAGATGATTGAAGGCAAGTGCAGTGGGAAGCACACCCTGGCCTGGTTTGAGATGAAGGAGGGGGTCATGGTGAGAAAACAGGCCATTGGTGGAAGTGCTGAAGGCAGGATCCTGGAGAGCCATGGATGGGTTGGTAGCATAACTCCTGGAAGGGTAGGCACCAGTGTGCTGATAGGAGGACAGAGCAGCAGGAGAGGAGAAAGTGGCAGTAGAAGGCAGTGCACCAGTCAAATACAGCTCTGTGGCGGAGGAGTTGGTACCTGCATTACACAGGATAGAGAAAGTTAGGACACAACAGGCAACGTGAAGAGATATGAACCAAGCAGAATGAATTAAATCTCTGTACACTATAGATACAACAAAATCAACAACCATTTTTGTTCTGTGAAAGCCTTTCATAGTTTAAAATATTTACAACAATCTTTTATGAAATCATACGATGCAAAGTTCCTTTATTTGGTAGCGAGCCAATCATCTATTTAGGGTATTCGATTATTGGATAAACTGGCAAAATCATCAGTTAATATGTTTCTCGCGAATAGACAAAAAACACCATAAACTTAGCTCAAAGTATGTGATAATGTATTCACAATCTGTGACACATATTCAATCTGTACCGAAGTCAGGTTATTTAAGTTACATCAAATAAAGTAAGAAGACAAAATGCATATAACAAACATGTGTGACGTGTAAGCAGCATGTGAATAACAGAATGAGTGGATGTGTTCTCACCAGCGGGCCATGATGGGGGCCTAAAAGGAGGAAGCAGTGAGGCACTAACAGGACCAGCCTGAAGGCTTCTGGATTCCATGGCTGACAGGAAGCTCATGATTGAGGTCTCAGAAGTATTAATGCTTGAGTCAAGTGCTCCTGTTAAAAGAGGGAGAGAAGGATAAGCAAAGAAAGGGGCAACAAAGTAAAGACATACCTATGTGCTAACTAGTAAGTTACTTAAATAGTTACTTATATAACACAATTGCTAAAAAAAAAACATCTCCTTTGACCCTAGTGATAATAGGAAACAATATATTGGTTGACAACAAATAAAAACTAAGGCTATAAATAGTTAAACTGAATAAAATACCACAATAAAACTGTCCACAACCAGGCCTGTGTATTTCAGTCGTTTATAGATCCTTTATATATTTATATACACTAACAAAGTGATATCTTAAACCACAGCATACACCACTAGAAGTAAGTGACAGATTAAATGTATTATAATTTGCGTGAACTGACCCTGGCATTCATAACTCACCTGCTGGAGCAGCAAGATGTGTAGTAGTGTAGGTGGGAAGCTGGTGGCTTGAAGTGTAGCTTTGCCGCTGAAGGAGCTCTGCATCAAGGTGTGCTGCCCCATAACTGGAACTGCACCAACACACAACACATTCATTAAAGCATGCATCTTTACAAGCAGCACTGAAGCATCCAACTATCCACTGAACTTTTTTTTTTTGGCCACTGTTCTTAGTAAAAACGGAGACGAACAAAGTAAAACAAATTGCGTGTATGCTTTATTAAACATTTTGGTAAATAACCAACTATAGAAGTTCATAGTTCTTGTGAAAATCTGGATAGATGTTAAAGTGGTTTCTGAATTGTTGAATTCACGAGTTACTCACATAAAAAACATTGCTCTGACAATGTGTGTAATCTGAGACAATTATGAAAAAAAGTTGTATCTGACACGTGACTTTATATTCTCTCGGGAGAAGATTCATAGGAAAATCAGAGGTAATCAGATGCAGCCATCCTGATCTGAAGTGTTCGCTTTTTGCCAGAAGGTGAACATCTGTGGAACAATGGAGTGTTGAAAGAGAGTACACACACACACACACACACACACACACACACACACACACACACACACACACACACACACACACACACACACACACACACACACACCACACACACACACACACACACACACACACACACACACACACACACACACACACACACACACACACACACACACACACACACACACACACACACACAGTAATCAGGTGGACAAAGCATTTGAAACACCTCTCCATATAATGCAGATGAATACACCACATGCCACTCCAAACTACAACCTCTAAAACATCCCATTATTATCTTCGTGAAAAGTGGATGATTGATCTGTTGAATGGAATTGCATTTTTACTGGTGTACCTTATAAAGTGGCACACAGATGCGTCATCTAATAAATCATCTTCAATAGGGAGTGAAGAGTAATAAGTATTACTCATCAAACACAGATTTAGTCATCCTGCCTGCAGCATCATCATTAGTGGATAACTTTATTGGCGCTGGTCTTTATAGTTTAGGCTTTTATGTAAAAGTGCTGCTTTTAATGATCCCTGTTAATTAATACACTGTGGAGTAGTGCATAATAATCCAGTAGGACTAAATTAGAGCTCTAGCTACAATGTTGGCAGGTTGTGTGGTTACATTTGCTATGTTTGTTTTATAAAATAAAAACAAGTTAAAATTATCTCAACGGTAGCATTGGACATTTAACTGGCAAATTTAAAAAAATATGTACAAACTCCGACACTTCGTCTGTTAGCTCTTTGGAAACAACACCAGTAGCCATACAACACTTATTTGAAGTGCCACAACTGACATGAGTAGCATTGGTAGCTAGTTACCTATATTGTTTAGGCATTGGCGATCACCTGAGGGTTAAGAAAACAAGCCGATAACATGTTTAATGTTTAAGCTGTCTAGCTGGACGAATGTTTACATATGTGAAATAATGCGCCTTTCTGGTTAGCACTAACTCTGTAAATGACCATGCTGAAGAGGTGGTGTGCTAGCGAAAACTAGCAAGGTGGGAGGCAGTTACACACGGCTAATAAACAACAAGTCAAAGCCTCCACAACTCCGAGCAAATTCCGGTTATGTCTCAAATTCCTTCAGAGTTGGCGATAAACACAAATGCACTTTTCTCCCCACTGCAAAGCTAGGCCCTCCATCACCGATATTTCCTGGGGAAAGTGCCCTCTCCTTTATCTTTTACCTTGGCTTGACACTAGCGGTGCTGCGGTCATAGGCCCAATAAGCGACGGTCTGTGCTGGTGGAGCCAGCGCGTCCGCAAAGCTGGAGGTCGGGTAGTTCCTGTCCATCATCCGGTGAAAGATTCACTTCCACGGGGGAGCTTCGTGGAGCAGCGGACACACATCGTAGCAGCCCGGGGGTCCGACCGACCGACCGACCGAGCGACCAGGAAAAGGAGTCCCGTCTGAGCACTGCGCGGTCCGCAAAGCCGCCGTGAAGTCGTGCTATATCCTGGATAAAAGTGTACCTTGAGTATGGGGGATTTCTTTTAATTTTCGTTCATCTCCCGTCATGAGAGCAGTGCAAGGCAAGCCCTGTATGGTTTCACGTACCCATGTTGGTTGATTTCCCAGGATGCACCGCAGACTTTGACTGGAAGTTTTGCAGTTTTCCTTTCTTCCACCAAAAACTTTAGCAGCCTGTTTTTGACATCACATGAAATATCAAAACATTGTTTCTACAATGTCATACAATCCAAACATTCCAGTTGGCAAACATGTGTTATAGACTGTTTCTGCTTTAATAAAGTTATGAAATTGTGCCTAAATATTTCCAAAAACACTGAACAATATTTCAAAGATGTACATTTTTGAGACCTCCTGTTTTAAAAGTCACTAGAGCCTGTTTGGTATTTGATATGCCAGTTTTAATTTATTTAAAAATAATGTTTGTGCTTTTATCAGCAGCTATTGATAACCGGTTTATATGTCATTTTGGAAATGTAGGCCTACTATTGTGCATCCCTGGAGATAACACAATAGATAGTTCAAAGCTGTAAAATCTTAATATTTATTTTAATAATTTTACGTAAATACAATATATATCGAGGAATAAAACCCAATGCTGTGAACATGGTTTAAATAGTTCACTTTTTTTTTCAAATCTAAAATGACTGACAAAGCCCTCATAACTGCTCATATTTTCATTTCATTTGAAAATGAGAATGAGAATGGGGCAGAGCCATCTCGGACACACAAACACAGTTGAAAGATAAGACAAAACATAATTAAAATATTAGTTTTATTTATAAAATCCTATAAAAGAAGCTTCAACAAAGTTACCCCTCAATAACTTCCCACAAGGTCATGATTCAACTTTGACAATTAACAAGGAAATTATAACTTCTTAAACCTTGCTTTTCTCCATCATCTGATGAGAAAACAGCAGCAGCATCCACCAGGCATGTCAATTGCTCCTTCAAAAATATCAGTGAAGTGAGATGTAGGACAAACTGTTGGGCTACATCCCAACTGTTGACATGTTTTAGATTTCATATAATAAAAGCCATTATCTTCTGGCAGAAATGTATAATGTGTAAATCTTAAATATTGTGAACATTTCTTCCCACCTATTTATTTTACATGGTATAATCAATCACAATATATATTTAAAGTAAACATGACTTCACATATCAGAAGAACATCCTCATTAGTTGATGACAAATACATAAATTCCTGACACAATACAAACGAATGAACCAACAAAATTACTTTCAAAATAAAAAAAATTATAAAAGAAGATTCACAATAGAAAGCAAATTAAGCTATTCGACAGGAAATTAGAAACCCGTACTATCCTTAAAAGCCTTTTCTGTATGGCAGAATGATATGTCATACTAATTAACAAGGAAATCAGTGTTGCTGTAATTATTTGTCTTCCTTCTTTAGGAGACAGGAAGCTAATGGATTAAACAAATCAGTCTGTCTCTCTTTAACTGCAATTAATACTTATCTTGTAATGAAGAAGATTTCTAATCCTGCTCTCAGGCCTTCTGTGCATGCTGTGTCTAAAGTAACTGCTCCTTAAAGGCCTTAGTACTCCAGCAACTGAAATCTCTCTTGCCTAATACATTATTGATTCTTCATTTACATTTAAATAAAAAACAGCGGGTAGGTGTTATATTGCAAACTATAATCAGACTTGGGAATATAGTTTGAAGACGTTACCTCAAAACTACGCTTTGGCACAAGGATGTTAACAAAGGGGGATTTAACTGATGAAAACAAGTAAACCAAACCAGAAAGATTAGAAATCTATGAATAACAAAAATAATCAGAGGAATAAACAGAAGGAGGTGTTTTCAATATCTTGATGATAAACATTCTAAACTGCCAAGCAGAGCATCACTGTATAAATGTTATTTGTAAATTGTGTGTTTAATGTTGATAGACATTTGGGAGATGTTGTCCTGAAGATACTACCGCCGAATACTTCCAGGTCGTGAGCTAAAACCACAGTAAGAGAAGATGTTATACAAATATGCTATATAAAAACCTTTTTGTAACTGCATTATGACTTGTATACAAGAAAAACTTGAAAATGAGTCATGACATACTGTAAATACAAATGTATATGTAAATACCCGGGATATGGAGGAGGTGGGGCGTCATGTGGTCCACTTTTTGCAATTGCCTGTTCATAGGAAGGCAATCCCGGGGGGTCTATTTCATCCATAGGGGGTGGGGCTATATGTGGGTGGACTGGTTGCAAAGAAACCTCCTCAAGCCGTCGCATTATTAGAGAAGCATTACTCCTCCTGGGTCGCACCCGAATGGAGCTGTGAGAGGAGCATAGACATACACATCATGTCATTCATATGTGACCGACTTAATATCTTCAAATAGAAAAGGTGGAACTATTCTTGTTATAAAACTGACTTACATATTAAATGGCTATGTTCCCCAGTGTTATATGTACATTACGTGTGACATGAAGCAGTAACATGTTGCTATAAGAGGTATGATAAATGGACAATCAATGCGGGTGTAACATTCATAAATGTGCAAAAGCTGTGACAAGATACGTGTCCAGACCTTATTGGTTCATACATTTTCAGCCTCAAAACATTTGATGCCACATTTCTGCCTCCTAGGGCCAGAACTGTGGGCGCCAAACCATGGACACATTTTGACGGACTGACCAACAGAGAGAGCTATAGAGCTAATGGTCGCAGCTAAAACTGCAGTTGTCTGCATATGAAAATGTCCAAACTCTAAAAAAGTATCCGCTTTATATATAAAAGGCGCTTAAAAGTGTTCAGGTTCAACAGAGTTCTCTTGATGTCTATAGTTATAATATATGCCCATATATAAGTATGGCGAACATGTGCAGGAATAATGTAGCTGCTATTAATATTAATATCACACTTACTTTGCACGGCTGAAGTTATTCTTGCATTTGCCATGACAGAAATACCAGACCAGGAGGCAAATGATAACAAGAGCCACTCCACCAGCAATCAGTCCGACCAAAAGAGATGTAACATCCACCCGTGAAGGATGCTTGTTCTTATCTGTGGATTATCAAAGACTATAGTGAGTAACAGACAGTGGACAGAGTGAGTCGAACAACTTGATAAAAAGCAGATAGCTGAATATCACAGGGTGTTCCTTTTTTCAATTTATACTGATATTTACGTTTAAGATTGTGTTACATTTTAGCAGCAACAGATACACACTTATAAGACATATTTACAATTCAGTCATCACTTAAACACATGATAGATGTTATGACCGAAAATGAAAGCAACAAGCATTCATATTCAAATCAGCTATTGAAAATGTGGTGAAACAGGTTTTGAAAGCACCAGTAACAGAATTGTAATTCACAAGGCACAAGTGTCCTTAAACCACACTCACAGGCTATCTCATCATTGAGTAGATACCAAATTAAAATGACATAAGTAATAAGTGGGATATGTATATTTTTCTCTTACCTTCAGTGTATTGCTTCCAAAATGCCTCCTGCAAAACCAAGCATCATTAGTATGGTGATTCTGTTGATGTAACTCTCTTTATGCTCATGAAATGACTTTAGTGAGCAGCACACTGAATATCAACACTCAACTGTATCTGGGATGTTTTCAAAGATCTCCCTTGCTTCTTCATAATTGCAGTCTTCTTCCTTACACTCCCTTTCCAGATCTCCAGGAACGAACATCTCAAAGTCAAACCGGTTGAACAGCAGATGGCGACCCAGGAACGAGTTTGCGTTTCCTTCATCTACAAACACTGGGATGATAGTCCAAATAGGTGACATGGTTACAGGAGAACTGATGTTCAAAGTGTTTAAAGTAAGGTCTTATGTCCTTCTTCAGTACAATCAGTGGCAATCAACAATCAACTAAGTTCATTTACTCAAACACCAATACAATTTTGAGGTATTTCAATGTTATGCTACTTTGTACTTCTACTCTATCACAATTCAGAGGTAAACATTTTACTGCACTACATTTATCAGTTTAGTTACTTTGCAGATATGAACAATGTGATCAACACTTAAATAAGACTTTAGTTACACCTGGATTAGATTCACATGATACCCAGCAGCAGTGGCGTAACTATTGACGGTGCAGCCGGTGCAACGCACCGGGGCCCAGGGCCGGCCAGGGGCCCATGCAAAAAAAGAAAAGAAAAAGTTTTTATATTTATTTTATTAATTTTTTTTTTTTATTTGTTTGGGGCCCCAATGGGATTGACCGGTTCACGCAGTCTTCAAAGTAACCAAGCAACCTAAATTAATTTGTCATTTGTCTGTCCAATGACCTTGCTCCCTTTCATGACATGTGATACCTTGCGTGACGAGCGAACCATTTAATCAACCTGTACTATTTACACACGGCATCTATTGCATGTCTGTCCGTCCGTCTCCGTCCTGGGAGAGGGATCCCTCCTCTGTTGCTCTCCCTGAGGTTTCTCCCATTTTCCCCCTTTAAACTGTGGGTTTTCTCCGGAAGTTTTTGCTTGTACGATGTAAGGATCTAAGGACAGAGGGTGTCGTATTGTCATACTGATATTCTGTACAAACTGTGAAGTCCACTGAGACAAATGTAACATTTGTGATATTGGGCTATATAAATAAACATTGATTGATTGATACTGTACTGTAGCTAGCTAGCAGCAGCAAGTTCGGCAGCATTATAACAAATGTAATAGCTTGCATTTATAATGTACAGCAAACCGAAGCACAAGAGCAGCGCTCAAAAGAGAAAGGACCAGAGAGAACAAGGAGATGTAACAGCTAAACTGACAAAATTAGACAGTTTTTTTTGTCATATATCGTCCTCAAAATCGAGCGCTAATGTTAGCAATGTTGACGTGCAGCGGGAGCCGGAGGCTAACGATAGCTCACCTGCCTCACTGCCATCTAGCTCCACAAGTGAAGCTGTATCCGTGGCTGTGCAACATTCTTCTCCAGCCAGCCAGGAGGAGAGGCTGGATTTGGTCCAACAGTTCCCCCAAGGGCCCCAACCGATATGGGGACTCTATGACACTATTGAGACCCCCGACGCCAAGAACAAAAGCTATATTATAGCAACCGGTCTATGTAGGCCTACCGGCCCATTCCCCAGAG